TGTGACAAGATTTTTTTTGTGGGGAGACACAACACACACACACACACACACACACACACACACACACACACCCCTACTCATTCCAGATAGGGACTGACTTATAGGTAAAAAAAAAAAAATCCAAGCTCACTTCTGAATTTTTAAAATTTTTTCATATATATAACATTTTTATTAAAATAAAGATTTTCTTTCCTTTTACATATCAACCCCTATTTCCCCTCCCTCTTCTTCTCCTGCTCCCTCCACCTACCCCCATCCCATCCCCATCCCCTCCTCATAGAGAGTAAGGCCTCCCTTGGATAGTCAACACAGGCTGTTATACTGTGTTGGGGCCAGACCTACGCCCCCACCTGCTGCATCAAGGCTGAGTAAGGCATTGTACCATAGGGAATGGGGTCTAAAAAGCCAGTTTGTGTACCCGGGGTAAGTCCTAGTCCCATTGCCAGGGGACCCACAAACACATCAAGTCATGCAACTTTCACTCACATTCAGAGGGCCTAGTTTGGTCCCATGCAGGCTCTAGTATGCAGTGGTATAAAAACAATGCCATCATGAAATTTGTAGGCAAATGGATGGAACTAGAAAAAATCATCCTGAGTGAGGTAACCCAGACCCAGAAAGACAAATATGGTATGTACACACTCATAAGTGAATGTTAGAAGCAAAGCAAAGGATAACCAGGCTACAATCCACAATCCCAGAGAAGCTAGGTAAAGAGGAGTATGGTGATATTTTATTTGTATTAAAATGTTATTTGTATGTTAGTAAATAAAGTTGCCCAGGGTCAGAGCTATTAGCAAGCCATAGGAAAACCAGGCGGTGGTGGCGTACGCTTGTAATCCCAGCACTTGGTAGGCAGAGCTAGGTAAGTCTCTGTGTGTTCAGGGATACAGCCAGCATTGGATACACATGCCTTTAATCTCAATACCAACTATAGAAGATCTGGAGGTCTGTATAGACAGGTAGTGACAAGGCAGTCATGTGGTTGGGTTTACAACCAATGAGAAGGCAGAACAGAAAGTCTATATAAAGATTTTAACACAGGAAGTAGCTCTCTTTTGGAGAGGTAGGACCACCGCAGGAGCAAGGGTAAGGTTTTAGCTCTTAGCTCTGACCTCTTGGCTTTCTTCTTTGCATTGGTTCTGTTTCTTATTTAATAAGATGGTTAGTTACATCTACAGAGGAGAACTGTTCTGAATTTTAAAAGCACACCAATCTGTGGTGATATTGTGTTCCCCAAAATATTGTGCACTCTAATAAACTTGTCTGGGGTCAGAGAACAGAACAGACACTAGATATAGAAGCCAGAAAATGGTGACACACATGCCTTTAATCCTATCACTTGGGAGGCAGAGATCCATCTGGATCTCTGAGTTTAAAGCCACACTGGAAACAGCCAGGTGTGGTGACTCACACCTTTAATCCCAGGAAGTGATGGCAGAAAGCAAAAAGGTATATAAGGCATGAGGACCAGGAACTAGGCTTCTAGCAGCAGTTCAGCTGAGATCCATTTAGATATGAGGACACAGAGACTTCCAGTCTGAGGAAACAGGATCAGCTAAGGAATTGGCAAGGTGAGGTGGCTGTGGCTTGTTCTGCTTCTCTGATCTTCCAGGGTTCACCCCAATACCCAGCTCCAGGTTTGTTTTTATTAATAAGACCTAACAATTCGTGCTACACCAATCCCTAGGCTCGTCCCAAGCTCAAGACTTGAAATCCCACCAATCCCCACACTGGAAATATCCACCTTGGAAAACTCCACTGAGTTCTTCACTGCTTCTCACGCAAGCAGAGGCAGCCACCCTTTTGTGTATTTCCCAATAAATCTCTTGTGTGAGGCGTATTATGCAGTGTGACTTTGTGGTGTTCCTTGGCTCTCAACCGCCAGAATACCTTTCCTTCAGGCTACAGCACTTACATTGGGGAAACTTTTCCACTCAGAGTTGTAACACGTAAATAACCAAAGTATGGATACCACCGAAGTCCACCTTGGTGAACCAATGAGTTTCATTGGGGTTACTTACATAAGTATGGGTGAAGAGTTACTCATAGGAGCAGAAATGACTCAAAGACAGCCACATCACCAAAGCTTATCCCAGCTTAGGCGACAACTCACAAAAACTGGAAACCTGGGGCCCACTGCACAGCCTACAGGCAGCTCAACAGGTTGGAGAACATCCTTTCCCAGTAATTCAGTTGATCTAGACTTCTTCCAGGCAGTGCTGCTGGTTTCTGCTTCTTCCAGGCGACTGGTCTGGTTTCAGAGTCTTCTTTGCTGGCTGGCTTCTTTGAGAATAACTCTCATCAGGCCTTATTGCTTACTCTGGGAGGGAGGAGCCTAGAGAATATAGTCAGTTTCAGGTACTTCCTGAAGCAATTTTGAGTTGTCTACCATCTTTCTTAAAACCTTTCCCATAGGATAGAATGTTTCGATCTCTGGAAGAAACTGCTATGTAGTGGGTAGCCATTCCAGCTTTGATCTGGAAGTTCCAATCCCCATTGAGGCTTCAGTAACTGTCACGCCTACAAGGTGGGGCCAAGAGAGGACTCTGAAGACCTGAGATCCGGATGCACCGCCTCTTGGTTCCTGGACCCTGGACAGTGGAGGTAGACAGAGCAGAGTTCTCCAGAGAACACCGCTAGACTGTGACACACCTTCCCCAGACCCTGCAACCTACCTATCCCTTCATTTGTAAGTTACGCCACTAAATAAACCTCCCTTTTAACTACATGGAGTGGCCTTAATAATTTCACCAATAGCTACACAAGAGAAATTAATCGGATTTAACCATGTTATAAGTTGCCTTATCAATATTCTAAAATCAGTAATTTTATGCACTAACACCAGACAATTGAGAAACAAATATTTCATTTACAGTGGTAATTTGGGAGGCACTGAATACTTGCAAACTAATTAAGAAAAGTCAGACAAGATTTGACATTAAAAATTATAAAACTGCTGAGAGAAATGAAGAAAACACAAATAGCTGGAGATAGATACTATTTTCTGGATAAAAAGATTCAGACGCACTTGAGAAACAATAAAGCTGAGGGTTTATGCTAACTGAAATCAACATTTACATTCATTATGAAATTGCCATACCATCTTAAGAACCAATTGGTATCATAGCTCAGAAATAGAGCTCAATAAACAAAAGGTATTGGAACTATTGGATATTTAAGTGGAAAAAGTTTATGCAAAATGAATTTGAATGTCCTTCAACACTACTTCTATCTAAACAGTAATCCATGTATTATTGTTTTTTACTTATGCATTGGTAATGTATTTGTAGTTAACCAAAGTACTGTTTCTAAAAATATGTTGATATTCTTGCTGTTAGGCTGTTTATTTTCAACAAAAGTAATTGCTTTAAATTAGAAAGGAAGAGTTTTTCATTAATAATAGCTCTAAAGATAGCATATGAAGTAAATAAAAATTATCCATGACCACACAACCCAGAAATTAACTGAAAATGAAATTTTGTGGTAGTCTTCCAAAGCCTTTCTGTATAATGCCATAAAATTTGTAAATTTCTTAGCATAGTGTCAAGTTACTTATAAATTTTTCTTTGTGAATTCTTAGGATTTAATTATTTTTGTTTGTGTATTATCTTTCATTTCAATATATTTCTTGACTTCTGTGACTGTATTTTCAAATGGTATAAATTTTAATTGTAAGCTATGTTGAAGTCACACTTCATTAGATATCTGCTCCTAGGGTACCTGTCAAGCTCATAAACATTCTTCCTCCATTGAATGTTCCCCACTCAAAATATGTCATATCTATTGAGCAAGAATGCAAGGAAGCAATTTTGAAACAGTTATATTTTTGTTGTCTGTGGTGACTTTGAGTCTGTCTTATCTGCTCAGTATTTCCTTACATAGTGAATTTAAGGAAAGTCATAAGCTGAACATTTCAACATTGTATCTAAATGTCCTGTTATAGGAGTAGGTATAGAAACAGTGATCAGACCAAATTTACAGCACATAACAACATTGGGTGACCACAAATGATTGTTCAAGTGCTCACATCTGACTTAAATTTGTCAGTTTTCCTCTCAGCCAAGGATGTTTGTTCTTCATAGGTCCTGAGACTATACCCTGATACTGTGGGCTGAAGAACAGAGAAAGGCTGTCCTCAGAAAGAAAAACATGAGGAAAGTAAAAAGAGAAGTGAGGATGGACCAGAGGCACTTCCTCAAGCCTTCTAGCTATGGACCTTGGTTTCAGTTCCTTCTGGAACTTCCCTGGCTTCCTGCCTTTGGGTTCTGAGAAGATCCTTGTTCACAACAATTCCTAACTTTCCTTCTTCCCTCTCTCTCCCTCCCTTCCTTACTTTTCTCTCTCCCCTCCTCCTTCTTCTCTTTTGTGAAGTTGACTTAGTATCAAATAAACCTAAATAATACAAAAATAAAGTGATCTATGAGAGGCTTTCTCCTATAATCAACAACCCTCTTTATGTTCTGCACATCCTTGGCTTTACATATGGAAAGTATCACCTATCTAGCCCCTCAATAGTTTACGTTCAATTTTCGCTAGAAATCTATTGTGATGCTGGCTCATCCACCAAGGATTTTGTATATAGAGATCACCCTTGCTCCGTTGATGCTTTAGTGTGAAACTTCCATGTGTCTTTTCCTGAGCAGAGAGTGTGGATTGTTAGAAAACGCTTAGAATTTGACATCTGATGACTCCTTTAGGTTGCTGTTTTCTTAAAATCCTAATCCTAACACATGGTTTTTAGAAAGGTATTACACTAATTTCCTCTAAGGAGACACAAATAAATATCTTTAAATTCAAGACAGAGCATCAACAATAGACCAAGGAATAGATTCTACTTAGTCCAATATGTGAACCAAAGAGTTTATTTGGCTTACTTATAGGAACAAGGGTAAAAGGTTACTTCCAGGAACTGGCAATCCCTCCAAACAGCTGCATCAGCACAGAGTTCTGCCCCTTCATGGATGATGACATCATGGAAGCTACATCACAGAGTCCTACTTTTAGTTAACCTGACACTTTCCATTTACTCTGGCATCTCCCAAGATCATTTATATCTAGGAGGTGAAGGGGGCAAAAAGGAGTCAAGACCGACTCTCAGGTAAGAGAACTATTCCCCTACCCCTTCAGCCTACTAGAGTGTGTCGGTACATCTATTACTGATACCACAGAATTATCTGATATTGTCATGTTTTGTTTATTTTGCTGCCATGGCAACTGGGCCAAAGTCATCCCTTCTCTGAGATGGCTGTGGGATGATGATGGTATGTCTAAAGGAAAAAGTCTATACTGAAACAAAGGGAAATCAAGTTTAGTTTATCTTACTGTTATTTCAAATGTTGTCGATAAGCTTAACACTAAAAATTAAGCAAATTTAAAAATTTTTATTCTTGAATGTCAATGAATTCTGTTTTTAAACATTTGGCTTGGGTTCAGCAGACAGTTCTGTGACGTGTTTTTAGTGATTGATGCAAAGAGATAATATTCACTCACAATGCTAACTTTTTTTTTTTTCAGTAATATCCACTGTGCTAACGAGCTTTCTATTACTATAACTGTAAGTGTTGCAGCTCTGAAGAGAAAGGTATACTGGTAGTCAGAAGCCAAGGATTACCTCTGGGTCTGAAGGGAAAGTTATCCCAACAGAAGTGTTACAGCTCTGTTCCAGTGGGGGAGTTTCCCCCCAAAAAGTGTTACATTCCTTGTTCCAGGAAAGGTTTCCCTAATGCAAGTGTAACAACTCTGCACTAGGGAAATGTTACAGCTCTGCCCCACTAAGAGAGTTTCCCAGCAGAAATGTAGCGGTTCTGCTCTGCTCTACCTAGAGCCCTTACAGCTCTGCTCTGCTCTGGTGAAAGGAACTCATCACTACAAACCTCACTCAAGAGATTTATTTGGGAGGGAGGAATCCAGGAGAGTGGCTGCCTCTGCCAGGGTGGAAAAGAGGCAGCCCCAAACTGAACAGGTACAGGACTTATATAGGGTTTCTTAGGGGGTGGGGCTTTCCAAGGTGGAGATTTTCAGGGTGGGGATTGGCAGGATTTCATTTCCTGTGCTTGGGACAAACTCGGAGATTGGTTGGATTTCATGCCCAGGGATTGGTTGTTTTTGTGCTCAGGGAATGGTTGGATTTCAGTTCCTGAATTGGTTAGGGTCAGAATGTATTTCTTTGGCTCTGGTCTCAGGGCCAGGGTTTTCTTTCACTTGTTCTTTTTACCCTATAATAACAAATTACCCCTCAAAACAGCTTATACAGAGAAAAGGTTTAATTTGTTTTATGGATTTGTTGGTTTCAGTCCATGAGCCTTTTGGCTACAAGTCTTTGGGCTAGCATGCATTTAGTTTTCAGAAACTTGTTTTCTATGTATTATATACAAAATCTCATTCTCAAACTGTTAAAAAACTGTAATTAAACTAAACTAAAGTGGTTCAATAAATATCCAGTGTTAGATGTCAGTGCTACAGCGTTGCAGAGGAAAAAGAAGAGATGAGATGTGGAAGTGGTATGAAGAAGCAATATATAAAATAAGGCTGCAGAGAGTGAACATTGAACTTTAGAAGTTCTGAGATAGACAATAGAGAGGCAGAGTAAAACGTAAACAGAGACACTGACTGCAGGGATACTAAAACAGAGAGGGGGTCCACCGATATTTCTGATAACCCTTCCATCACTCTTTCTTTAGGCTCTTCTGAAGTAAGTGAAAGCTGAAATGTTGGAGAGAAATTTCTAGAAGGGGGTGAGGTTTGATATGGATCCTGAAGGTGGAGATTTGAGAGAATAAAGCATTGAAGACAAAACCTGAGCCAAAGCACAGGAATGAGAACACGCTCCATTTTGCAGAGGAGTGATCTACCTTTCTAGACTTCGGTGTGTGTCAGAAACTGTGGGAAATTGCTCAGGTGAGTATGGTGGACAAAGACACATCAGAGCCATTTGAATATGAATGGCAGCAAGAAGGAATCACTGAACTATGGAGTATCAGGATAGAAACTGGGGTGAGGTTACTCAAGATGCATTGGATGGGTGGAAGCTGAAGCCAGGCAAGCTAATTGGGGCATCCTATAGTGATCCATCTGTCACACAGTGAAGACCTTATCAACATAGTGCAGATGTGAGAAGGGATGGGAGATTGTTCAAGAGATGAAAATGTCTGGTTTCAAGCATGAACAGCTAGAGAAGACAATGGAGCTTCCTGTCTAAAAAGTCTGCATGTGTGGGACTGGGCCTTAGGGGAGAGTGCAGGGTGGAAACGCATGTTGAGATATAAGGAATAGCCAATGGCATGGTTCAGCTGAATTCAAGAAAAGGAAGATCTTTGGAGAAAGAATGTGAAGAGAAGGGTGGAGAGACATGGTGGAGATGCACCCACATTAAAGGCCTTGGACAGGTAAAACGAGCCAGGGTTGTGGAAACATGCAGCCTGGGAGGTGAGACTCAAGGGTTGCCAGAGAATGAAGAGAACAAAGTGGATGAGGAGCCAGAGAAGGTGACTGAAGAGGATCACATTTAGAAGAGTTCCATTAATGACCTGGGATTAGAAATCAAGGAGAGGAAGGACAGGAGGTGATGGACTTGCAAACATGGGCAGAGTCGTGAAGCTGTTATGAGGATGGGCTCTGGCAGCCACTCTTCTGGATCTTGGATCCACTAAAACAGGACAACTTAATTTGCAGAGGCTTACCCATTATAATGTACTAGATTGACTGTCTGTCATGGCCCTAACTCATGTCTTTCCCACCGGTTCATGTGATCTTATTTAGAAATGAAGATATTGTAGATCTAATGAGTCAATATGAATTCAGACGAGGGAAAGGTGGGTCGGTAGCGCAGTGGAACTGGTTTCCTTGTAAGAAGTGAAGAGAGACATAAGGAGAACACCTATGCCTATAATGACAGGAGCAGTCTGGGGTTACATAGCTGTAAACCAAGAAGCACCTAGGGCTGCTGGAAATAGCAGAAACGAAGAGAAAGGCTTGGATCAAATTCTGACCTAGCACTTTAGGAGGAATAGGGCTCTTGCCTCTAGGACTACAAGAAAAGAAATTCTGGAAATTCTGTTCTTTTGAGCCCCCAGTTTCTGGCGTTCTGTGGTGCTAGTCCCAGAACCTTAATGAATTCAGCCACCACATCCTTAAACTGAAGATGATACTGTCTTCCTAGGAAGGGTGGGAAATAGCACATTGAAAAATGCTTAGTACAGTGTCTGCTCTGGAGCTAGAACTCAAACAAATGTTGACAATATGTTATGTTATTCTTTAAGGATCTGGTTGTAGGCAGAGGGAAAAAATAATTCTAGTCAAGCCATGGGGACAATAAAGTCCGAAATTTTTTTCTTGCTAAATTATTGGTGCATAGTTAAATGGAGATGACAAACCCCTCACTTATGATGACAGGTGTCATTTTAGATCAAAAGAAGCATTTTCTAGGTTGGCCACTTAACTGGTGTGACACCACACTTCAGAATTTCAGAACACTAGACTCACCCTTCAATTACAGACATTAGCACCCTTGAATATAACTTTTACAAGAATGTCAATTTTATCAAAGCTAATTATAGGTATCCCCATATGAAAGAAGAGAATCTTATTTTAAGTAAAAAAAAAAAATCAACTTTGTTGGCTTAACATCTCAATGACTTAAATCCAGAGAAGATTTCTTTCAACAGAACTTGGCAAAATGGCACGCCACTCTACATCTCTCTGACATGTAAACAGCTCTAGCTACCCTGTCTGAAAAACTGAGGAAAAGTTCAGGGTGAATGTGTAATTGAGTTCTACTCAGCAAGTTCAAAACAAATGACTAATCTAATGTCATGGACTTCCTTTCTTCTCGGACTTTAGACATCGGTACACAGGCTTTATTAGGTTTTACTAAAAATAAAAAGGAACAAAGATTTTAGAATGCTGAGCAAACTGCTCATATCATATTTACATGACCAGAAAGGAAGGAAGATGAGAATTGGGAAGAGAGACTTTACAGATTGTTCTCCTTTAAAGAAACTGTTGCAAGCAGATCCCAGAAGCAAGCAGAAGACCATTAAAAAGTTACAAGAGGGTGTGGCTCAGTAGTAGACTATCTGTTGAGAACGTTCCCACCATTTTTTAAAGTCACATTGAAATCTTTCATTATTTAATTTCTAAACAATAATTAACATGAAATCTATCCTTTAAGCAACAAGACTTGTGGACCAAGAATTTGACCATGCTTTATCTTACCCTAGAGTAAATTTAAGTCCTTATTGACCCTTTCTACTGTACCTTGAGCACCAGAGTTGACAGTACAATATTAAATTATACTTCATTTGAACTTGGAAATCCAGGACAAATACAAGGAGGCTGAACATAAAATAGGAGTTCCCTTGGCAACCAGACTCTGAGTTCTTGAAATGTTCTCTGGTTGCAAGGAGGAAGTTAGAGTTTATTGTGCAAGCTGTTGGTTGTAGAGCCGTTGGCAAACTGAGAGATGACAGTCAACCACTGCCGAGCTCAGTGTATTTCTCAATGTATGTTGGCTAATAGAATTTTAAAACATTGGCTTCCATTCCTTTCAGAATCAGGAAAGACAGAGATACTTGGGGAGGCGGGGAGTTGATTATCTTTCTAGCTGATTCCATCTCAAACCTGTGATTAGATTGCAAGGCCTTAGTCATAAGGCAGGCTTTGATCTCTTTCACAAAGGCAAAGGCGAGATGTTCATCTTTTTCTGTTTTATAATCCTCTCAGCATTTATGGACAATGGATATATACATGTATATGTTAATGAGTATACACATATAGATTATGAGAGCACACCTATACATTGTGATATAGTCAATATATTTACTGAGTACTTATATGTCATATATAAATATATAAAACTCCTGAAGCTGGGTATTTTGCATATTTATCTCAGAGTTTGTAAAACCTTGTGGTGGTTTGAATAAGAATGGCCTCCATAGGATTATACATATGTATGCTTAGTCACCAGGGAGTGGTCGTTTTGAAAGGATTAGAAGGATTAGGAGGTGTGGCCTTATTGGAGCAGGTGTGGCAATTTTTTGGAGGAAATGTGTCACTGGGGGTGGTTTTTAGGTTTCAAAAGCCCACACCAGGGCCAGTGTCCCCCCCTACCCCCCCACCCCGTCTCTCTCTCTCTGCTTCTCTATCTATGGATCAGGATGTAGCTCTCAGGTACTGCTCCAGCACCATGCACAGCATCTTACTTCCCACTATGACGATAATGGACTAACCTCTGAAACTGTAAAGCAGCCCCAATTAAATGCTTTCCTTTATCAGAGTTGCCCTGGCCATTGTGGCTCTTCACAGCAATAGAGCAGTCACTACGACAAAGCTAAAATCTTAAGATCAGGTAGGCACGCCTGTTCAGCCTGTGACAAGGGATCTCTTTAAGCCGAGCCACAACATACTCATCTCGGAGTTGCCTGTTGATTGTCTTTTTCTATGAAAATTTAAATGTCCTGTATCTAGGGCTCTTGATGGGATCATTTGGGGTCTAGTAGTTGTGGGCAGCCCTGACTTTCCAGCTTTGCTGCTTATACCACAATATCCTGTCTTTCAGGCTGCCTTCACTCCATGATGTAATGTATGTAATGAATGTAACTGTGTGGTGGACACCTACAGCATCCTAACTGGGTCTCCAGAAACAGTTATTCTGCACCTTCACAGCTTCACACAGTGTCCTCTTGGGGGACTTCTTGCTTGGCATCAGACCTTGCCTGTTTCATGCTGGCAAACGGTATCAGGTGGTCAATGCTGCCAAGCTCTGTTGTTAGCTCTAGATGTACCTGGCCTCCTTGAGCCACACTCTCATTGCCTCTGTGTGGACCCTGGTGAGACTTTTTTCTAGGCGACTGTGTTTGAACAAGGAGTCCCTTCAGTGACATTGTCAGCCTAAGCTCATTCCTTTAAAATGAATTTGAGTTTTCACAAGTTGGTCTTACTGCCGGGAGGTTTTCCTAGGTTTCTCTGTAATGGGACTAAGCCCTTAGACAACCACAGCTGCTTTCCCTTCCCCCTGCTGCAACTTGAAACTTTCCTGCCAGACTACTTTCCCTGCCAAACGGCACCTTTCATATCTTTTTGCTCTACTTGCCACTGTCTTTTACTACAGACCTGGATAAGAGCAATTAACCACGATATAGCCTGAATACAACCCTGTCTTGAAATGCCCTCTGCCAAACAAATTAGCTCATTCCTTTTGGATTTAGCCACACTCCAGTTCTCAGGACAGTGGCTAAGTGCGATTCTCTGCCAGAATACAACAGCAATGCTCTCTAGCCTGGTTCTTGATAGAGTCCTTGCTCACCTCTGCAGCCCTATGAGCCAGGCCTCCACTGTCCACATCTGTTGCTGTTCTTCTGAACGCCCACCAGAAGGACCATTAAGCATTGCTTGCAGCATGGTAGGGCGTCTCTAGCTCATACCTCCAAACTCTTTCACATTCCTCCCACACACCTGCTCCAAATGCCTCAGAGCTACATGGTCAAGTTTATACAGCAACAGCCTTAATTCTTGGTACTAATTTTCTGTATTCTATTTGTGGAAGGAATACTGACTTGCTGTTTAAGGATTTTATTATTTACTTAAGTGTAGATCTATGTGCAGATGTCCTCAGAAGCCAGAGGGTGTTAGACCCCCAGAACTGTAGGTTTGGGCAATTTTAAGCCATCTGATGTGGGTGCTGGGAAACAGATGTGGGTTCTCTGAGGGAGCAGCTTTAACTGCTGAGCCATCTCTCCAGCCCCCAACTTTTTTGTTTTCAAAGCAAACAGTCAATGAGGTTCAGTCAAGCTACAGCAAGCTCAGCATGGTCCTTTGTGGGTTGTGATTGCAGAGCCTTCATACTGACACTTAGAGTTTTCCCATGACATCACCTTATAGCTTGGCTACTCTGCTATGTGAGTATTTGCTAAAACAAATGCCGTAGTCTAGGTAGCTTAAGTAATTTATTTCCCATAATTCTGGAAGCTGGGAGACACAGATAAGGGTGCCATTAAACTCCATGTTTGTTGTGGGTCCTTTCCTGGGTTGCAGATAAGTACCTCGTTGCTGCATTTTACATGGATGACAGACCATCTCCCTCATCTATTCTAATAAAGGAATCAGTCTCATCTACAAGGGTTCCACTGCCATGACCTCCTAATAATTTGGGAAAGTGTATCAGTTTGGAGAGATATGGACATTCAATACACAGCATGGTCTACACTGAGGTTCAATACACTGAGGTTCAGGCTTTCAAGTCTATCGTATGTATTTGAGGTCAGATCCATGCTTTTCACAGAACTGGGAAGGAAATGGCAAAAAGATGAAGTTTAAATATGCTGATTTTTCTCAGATTTTACAGCTGGAGTTGAAAAGATGTAATTTAACCTGGCTAAAAACAGGATGAGTCACAAGAACCTTGTAACTGTGTTTGGGTGAGAGGCAGTGAGCAGTTGGGGGGAAGTGGTAGGAGGACACTTTTCAGTGTACACATTTCATACGGTGAGAGTTTTGAGCCACTCAAATATATTACAATTTTCAAAGTAGGAAAATATAAGTAGATGTTTTCCTATCAAAGGACTCCTTTACAAGTAAGTCCCTTTGGCTTGTTCATTAGGAGAAATATTTACAAGGTAGCAATTTTCATATGGCTTCAAAAATCCATATTTAAATGTGACAGTAATAAAAACTAGCACCTACTGTTATTTATAGATACAGATTGCATTCTGAGTGCTTAAGGACCCGAATGCCATGTACACTGGTCCTCAAAATATCTCAAGAAACATTGCAATGAAATATGAGTATAATGATTTATGTTCCCTGCAGTAAGTAACATATGAAATAAATATATAATGAAATACTAAAATTCACAGATAATGAAACTGAAGCTTAGAGGTCAATAGCCCATTGTAATTAAATGTTCACATTGGCTTATGCAGTTAAATGGGGGTTAGAACCCAGACACTTGAGCTTTACGAGTAGACAAAATATCCAATCTACTGTGTTATGATAGGGAAAGAGAAGAACATTATGAGGAAGTGGAAATGTGTGAGTTTTAGACTGTTTGGAGTGAATTGACAATGGACAGACTCTCAACTGAAGTGTTTCACAAGTCATGGTGATATACATTACCAGAAGCAACCAGAGGACCAACCTCAAATGTTGTATAGGTGTTTCCTTTAGAGGGAAACACGTCTCCTTGGATGGAAACAGGGGGACTCACAAGAAAGTTACAAGAACTCACCACAAGGTTAGAGAACTTGCACAACCTTCCTGAGGTTACAGAAGCAGTAAACAGTTGCTGAAGGAAAGACTCTCACATGAGACACATGAGGGGACCGCCCTCTCCATGAGGTGGTAGGCGGGTGTTCGATATCGTTAAAGTACTATTCAAACACATGAAGGACACCATTAGTGTTTGTTACTTATGGTGGGCTCTCTTTCCAGTATTCATTTTCTATTAGCAAAGACTCTGGGATGGGTTAATTTGACCTCCTGGCAGGTGTCCACTCTCCTCTGTTGCCCTGTCAGCCTTGAGCAAAAGGCCTGCGGGTTAAGAAGTCAGCCAGTCTCCCAGCACCAGTCATCTGGAACACTCCATGGATGCCCTGAGGAAAGGCCCTTCACACAGGTTGTCCTGTACTTCCTGCCATACAGTCTTTGATGAACTCTACCTAGATCCTGCAACTATTTCCATCTAGGGGAGCATTTTTTTTTCCTAGCAGCCTAGTGGTATAGTGGTTGTTGCTGCTACCAAACAGACTGGGTAGTTGGTGCAACCACAAACCTTCATTAGCATGAGTGATTTTCTGTGCTTGTTGCAAACACCTCTTCTTCGACTATTTCAGCAGGTTTTTCTGGTTCGTTTTGTAAGCCGTCCAAGAGACAGTGCCCTGTGCTACTGTCCCTGGTGTTACAATAACACCTCTCTAAAGAGGTCTTTACCTCCTGTCCTAATTTGCTTCCTATTGCTATAATAAACACCATGCCCAAAAGCAATCTGAGAAAGAAAGGGTTTATTTCATCATACAGTCCATCATGGAAGGGAAGTCAGGGCAGGAACTCAGCCCAGGAACCTGGAGGCAGGAAGTGAAGTAGAGACCATGGAAGAACACTGCTTACTGGCTTGCTCCTCATAGCTCACTCAGCTTGCTCTTTTAGACAACTCAGGACCACCTGCCCAGGGATGGTACTGATCATAGCAGGCTGGCCCTCCCCACATCAGTCATTAATAAAGAAAATGCCCTAGGCAATCAGATGGAAACATTTTATTTATTGAGGTTACCTCTGTCCAGATGACTCCAGGCTGTGTCAAATTGAAAAGAAAAAAAAATGAATAAATAAATAAAACCAATGAACACATCTGCTCATTTTGGATAGGGCAGACCAGGCTGGCAACATGAAGAAAGCACCAGAGAGAACAGAATAACAGCAACGACAGAATAGCACCAGGTTGGCAGTGATGGGAGAAGAGGCGGAGCTGAGTGGCCAGAGGGCTGAGCTGCAGAGGGCTGAGCTGCAGAGGGCTGAGCTGCAGGGGACTGAGCTGCAGAGGGCTGAGCTGCAGGGGCCTGAGCTGCAGAGGGCTGAGCTGCAGGGGGCTGAGCTGCAGAGGGCTGAGCTGCAGGGGGCTGAGCTGCAGAGGGCTGAGCTGCAGGGGGCTGAGCTGCAGGGGCCTGAGCTGCAGGGGGCTGAGCTGCAGAGGGCTGAGCTGCAGGGGACTGAGCTGCAGAGGGCTGAGCTGCAGGGGCAGCAGAGGGGCCAGCTGCAGTGACACAAAGAGGCAGAGCTCCAGGCCTGGGACAGGTGGACTTGGCAGCAACCGTGGCAGCCGCCCTCCTGTCAAATACCTGGAGACACACAAACTGCCAAAGGGCAGTACTTGAAGAGCTGCTCCTTGCCTACCCACAATTCCTATCAGAGTACAGCAGAGGGTTCCAGCCCGCCGACTGGTAACAAGTGCAAGATCAGACTCTGTTTTGATTTAAAGAATTTGGTATTTTATTCACTATGGATTTTTGTAGTTTAAAATATACTGCATTTTAATATTCATTTATCTTGATAAAAGTTTTGGTTTTTTTTTTTCTTTTGGTAAAGTTGCCTTAAGTTTCATATTCCACTGTGTCTCAATCATCTAACATAAATGCTTGGATATGAGTTTGTTTTTTTTTTTTAAATCACATGGAAAAGGAAAAATGTTAACTTTCCTATGAAGTTTACTCAATTATTCATTAAACAAATATTTCTGGAGCATTTTATGCTAACACTGCCCTAGGTACAGGATGTTTTCAATATGTATTTTTAATGTGTGCTACAGCATTTTAAATAAATCTGTAATTAAAGAACCCAATAGCTTAAAGCTTAGGAGAGTTTAATGAGATGCTCCAAGACTCGGGTATATAAGCCTTTCACTAAGTGTGTTCACATTTCCTAATAATGTCAAGTCCCTTTCTTGCATTATTGGGTAACTTCCCATTCTGAACTTTAATGCTAGGGAGGGACTAGTGAGCCAGGACAGACACTATGGCTGCCAGAAAGAAAAGAGAGAAAGAAAAAAATAAGGGTAAAATTAGAAATGATGCCCCTTCAAATCACTTAATTCCTCAAAATCAGTTTCTCTATAAAATACAAAGAATTAGAACGTTAAAGCCTCATTTATGTCTGATAATTTTGAAGTAACAGATTTAATTTAGCTGATAAACTCTAAATTACAGTGGGTTTTAATTCAATTCCCATTAATGATCCCCAAATTTCCTTTTCCTATATTGTGAGAGCAAAAGAAAAATATACATAAATATATACCTGCATATACATTGTTGTCATTTTTAAAGTGCTCACTAAGAGCGACAATATTTAGGCCACTCGACCCTTCACTGTCTGAGCAAATACACCTGGTTAGTTTAGTTATGTTTTCTTCACTTTCCTCTCTAAACTTTATCAGCAGTGTTTGAACAAAATGGAGTTGGGTGAGGTGATAGCACCCTTTGCAAACACTTAAATTTTTATTTTTCACATTAAAAGGTTTCAAACTTCAAGGAAGAGGGTAACCAGCATAGCTGGACTTAAGATGCTTCTGAGGCTGACCTTGGATTTGAAGGACTGGGAAAGGGGGCTGATCTAGTTTAAGTGCTGGGGAGGCATGTGTGATAACAGAGACTCAAAGCGTAGATGAAAAGAAGAGCTAGAGCCAACCTTGGCCAGGAGGATTCAGACACCTGCCGGGCCTTGCGTCAGTAAGTGATTTCAGATCCTGCAGCCCCGGGAGGTCAAGTTCATATCGCCGGCAAGAAGGCTAGTTGAAATGACAAAGAGGATCTATTTCTGTTTTAGTGGATTTAGCAAAGGAAGAGACTTATCCAGGTCACTGGACTCACAGACAACCCCGCAAATAAAAACACCTTAACATTGTCATTTACATCTCTGCAAAAAGTTGCTCGCAAACGCCCTCACGGAGACGGAAGGGTCTCGAGTCGCGAAGCACCGTCTCAAAATAAAGCCCGAACGGAGAGCTCCTCAGTTCCACGCGCAGGGACGTCATGCCCGCCCTGCTCACCGGCCTCTGGGTCTCCGGGGGCGCGCAGTCGGGCGGGGGCGAGGGGCGTGGAGGCCGTTCCCTCGGAGCACCCAATCAGCAGCGAGCCCCGGCGGTGGCGCCAGTGACGTAGGAGGCGCTCCCTCCGCCCCACTGCGGGCGGACGCCGAGTTCTAAGCGGCTGCGGGCGGCGCACGCGGAGCCGGGGCAGTGCGCCTGCGCAGCCGCTCACCCGGGGGAGGCGG